TTATTTTATAGATATGTTTAGTAATATATTTCTGAAAAATAGGCATTGAGATGAGGCCGAAATTTTGAGTTTGACTTCAACTTTCCTCATCGAAGTTCCATTTGTCTCCATTTGTCCATGTTTCTCTATTCAAACAGGCTTACTGTCTCTCTATCTTTATTCATAGCTCTCTCTCTCTCTCTCTCTCTCTCTCTCTCTCATAATATCTTTCCCCTTCTCTGTACCTCTTTTTCCCTGTCTATCATTCCCTCACTCTTTACAGCTCTCTATCGCTCTGTCTGACTCTCTCTATCTCTCTCCCACTCTCAATATTTCTGTCTCTGTTTTTCACTCTCATTCTCCTTCTATCCTTTTCACCATCACTGTCTCTTCACTGTTCTGACTTTATCTGTTTCTATTCAACTTATAAAAAACTACATAATGATAATTTTTTTAATTAAATTTAAATAATTTTTTTTTTTTTCAATTTAAATTCCATTGCTATGTTAATTGCTAATCAGTGTAGTGTATTCAATTGTCAGCTGTCAGTCGACTGTTTTATATTTTTTACTAAATGTGCATACAGCTGCCGCTGCCGTTGCTGCAACGCCCTCTGTTGGCTAGTTTCAGCATGTGTGTAAATTGTCCCCTCGTAATGGGGCTGAGCGAGGCTGTTGCTGCTGCTGCTGCTGCCGCTGCTGATGGGGCGGGAGGTTAGTGTTTGGGGCAATAGCGCGGCATGTTAAACTGACCGCAAGCATTGTTTATCATTAAGTGCGGCCAACCGCCCACCCGACGGCTCCTCTGCCCGTTCGCCCTCACTCCTACTGGAGCTCGGCTGTCTGTGCGTCGAGTGGCCATGGCCGGGACTCTGCTGCCTGGGCCGACTTGCTGCCACATGTGGCACATGACATATGTGTCAGAGGGCTGTGCGTGCCAGCGGCTCTTCTTTCTTTATTTCTTTTTATTTTTTTTTGCCCGGCCAACTGGCCAAACATGTGTAGCGCGATTTCATCTTCATGTGGTAGCTGCTGCAGCTTTCGGTTAATGGAGCCGTTAGTTAGTCGCAGAGCCGTCGTGTCAACCCGAAATCCAAATGAAATACTTAGCTTAAAGAGCTCAAGCATTAAATAAGGCAAATCGAATAAACTGCAAAGTTTTTTGGCCAACGATTCCCTTTGTCCTGGGGCCCCTTTACCCCGCAGAGTGCAGCGAGTGCATGCAAAACTTTTGTAATTAGGAAGCAATGTCGGTCATTAGCAGAGCGAGGCGACTGCGGAGTAGGATGCATGGATGTGGGCGGTGTGGGTGGAGGGGGCGGTGGGAACGGCAACTGCTGCGGCTGCCATTCAGAGAAGATACCACAAAAAAGCGCCAGAAGTCAAAACAATAACGCAAATGTTCAGTTCGACCAAAAGGCAAAGGAAAACTCACTCGATAGCCACGAACTCGAAATGCGCTTTATATTCCACTTATAGCTAAAGCTGATGTCATTTCAGCTTTTTTTCCCGTCACATCTAGCTTTGTTCAAGATGTGCTTGCGTTAATATTCGAATTATGGCTAAAGCAATTAAAACACTGATGCAATTTCAGCATTTTTCCCGCTAGATTTGGCTTATGTGAAAGTCTGATTAAGACAATAATATGCAAACAGCATTAAGCGAGAATTACAAATTTTTAGATAATTAAAAATTTTATTTTCACAATTTTTTCTTAATTTTGTAGATATATTTCAATAATGTGTTAAAGTTACAAGTCAGTTGTTTTTTGGTTGCCTTTCCAGCTAGATCTGGCTGTTTGTGCTCTGAAAAGAATTTGTGCACGGCTATAACAATTTTCATGAAAATATGCATTTCAGAGATTTAAAAAGAATTCAAGTTTTATAAATTATAATTCATATGAAATTTCTCTTCTTCTGCCAATCAATCTCTGATGCAGCACGAAGTAATCCCATGTAGGAGCCATTATGCCCGGACTCAAGGCTCTTGAGCACCGCAGCCAAACAAAGAGCTACTAAACGAACTCGGGCGATGGCGCCCAACATTTTGGCTAACAATACTCTAAATAGAAATTGCAAAAAGTCAACCGAATGGGGATGGGGATGGGGATGGCGATGGGGGATATTTGGGGGCTGCTTTTGTACAATTGGACGAGCATCAAACGTAATTTTAATAAAGTTTGAATGCAAAAGTTTCTGATTTGAAATGCATATAAAAGTTAACTATTTCCGACGCTCGCTGCGAACGAAAACTGCAAAAGCTGAATGTGTGTAAAAAGTTTGCTATTTTTTATTATTTTTTGTATTATTTGTATTTCAAGTTTCTTTCTTTCGCTCTTGTTGCACTCGCCGTGGCGATCGAGGGCCGTGTGGAGAGTGGACGACAGACGGCCACTAACATGGCTCGAACAAACAGCGGATGTGGCTGGGCACTGGTCGCGCCTCCTCCTGCCGAGAGACGCCGCGACGCTGCGTCGCGCCAGGTCATGGTCATAAATTAAAGGCAACAAACCGACTGCGGAAGTAAGTCGCAAACGAACGAACGGCGAATGCAAAGACAGCGCTGCTGCTGCCACTGCTGCTGCTGCTACAGTGTGGTGCAGCGTGTGCTGTGGCAGCGTGGTCGCAGCGCCGACAAGTGGATTTGTGGCCATTACATCTTGAGCCACACAACCGACTGTCCGGCTCGGACAGCCAGCTGAAGCTGTGCGGAAGTGCAAGCTGTGCTGTTAAGTAGCCTCGAGTCAGCCGCTGCCTCAGCTTCAGCTCCAGCTTCAGCGTCATCGTCGTCGTCGTCGTTGTCCTGGCTAACGATCAACTCGTAATAGCTAGCCCCGGGCCGGACTTCGAAGTTTTTTCGTGGAGCAACTGACGCTGGATGTAGATGCAACGGATGGAAGTGTTTCATTCCACCAGCGGCAACTGACTTCCCCTCACACTTACTGCTACTCCTGCTATCTCGCCCTCGCTCTGTCTATCTGTCTTTTTCTGCATCTCTTCTTCTTTTCTCCTTTTGGATTTGCAAGGACTTTTCGTTTAACGTTTTCTAGATATGTTGCCTTGGCATCTGACTTGAATATGCATCTAGGAGTGAGCTCAAGTGCTTTCATAGAGTATACCCGACTAGCAAATACCCTGTGTTTGTTAAGCCTAAGCTGAAATTCTCTTACTAAATTATGCGTCTTGTAGCATGGTGGATAATACTCTGTAATGTTTTATTCACATATGAACTTGCCATTTACACCTGCAACGGGCACTTGTACATGGTGTTGAGGCGGAGTATGTCGGCTTTGCTCAACCCAAGTCTTTGGCCCATTTGCTGTTGACCCTCGGGCTGCAGGGCGACAATTGTGGCTTCGCCATTCTTTGAGAAGGCGTTGCTGCTGTAGTGCAGAACACTGCCATAGTCGTATTTGACATCGAAGTTCTCGACTCGGTCCGCTTCGTACTTCTTGAAGTTGCCCTCCTTGCCCTCGGTTATGTTCTCCTCAACAATTTTCACGTACTCATCGCGATCCGTGCTGCATTGCTGATGATGGAAGCCCAGAGTGTGCAGCAGCTCGTGCTCTATGGTGCCCAGTCGAAAGCAACCGACGTCCACGGCGGCCGGCTTCAGCTTGAGGGTCTGCTCGCCGCCGCGGTAGCCAACCTTGGAACTACAACCAGTCTCCGAGACAGTGATGAACACATAGTCCAAAGTTTCCGGCGGAACCGGAACAAAACGTATGCAGGAGACCAGTTCGATGCGTCGCATTCCCAGCTTAATATGTTCCGTTTGCTCAGAGTCTATGATAATGGGAGTATATTGAAATCGTGAATGGAATATCTGAAGTGCAACACCTACTGAAGGCCTCGTCTATCTTGTAGGGGACTGTGGCATTGGCCCAGCGTCGGGCCGGGGCTATTTCTCCATTTCGTTGAACCTCCACATCCATGTCGCCCTGGAAGTAGCCAGCCGTAAGCTCCGGATCAACTTCCGCCTCCTGCTCCCTGACGGGTGCCCCCCAAGCGCCCAAGCAAAGGCAAGCGATTAGCAGAGGAACAAAGCGTGGCCGAGCTGCAAACATTTTTAACTAATCCGTTGAGCAGCTCACAATTGCCTAATTGGCCCACAAATAACATTTTTGCTTGCAAATTATAAAAAAAATATCTCAAGCTTGATAAAGGTAATCAGCTTTCGATTCGCTACTTATTATACCCTATACATGCGGTGCTGCTGGAAAGGGGTTTATTGATTTTATGCAAAGAGAGGAACATTTTAAGCTTTTCTTATTCTCATTATGTCTTAATGAGTTATTTGTAGATGTAATTTGTTCATTAGGTGATTTCTCGTCATTTCTTCATTTCATGAATGAAACTGTTTCGAAATGCCAAAAAAAAAAAAAAAAAAAATTCCTATTTCAAATACCTAATTTACACATTACTCTTTAACTATTTTAATTGAACTGTGATTGGCCAAATTTCTTGTATATTACGTGATTGGCAACTAGCGATAATTTCTGCTGTTGTTTATTTCCTGTTCTTTCATTAATTGCTATTACTAGTGATTGAGTATAAGCTAAAAAAAATAAAAAATTTGATACTATTTATGTAAATATTAATTTATATATATTTTATATCGTATATGCTTAAAATATATAAAAGCTGATGCGCCTATATACTCTTCACGATCTATAATATATTTTAATATTTTTGACATCTGAATAATTTATGACCATACTCGAGGTGTGCAATATACATATTTTTTTTATTTTTTTTATTATTATTATTTTTTTTTTTTCTACACCCATTTTGTTTACAGTCATATGATTGATTAGGAAAACCCAGAAACAATTTCTAAATGATAGCAGTGCGACTTTGTTTATTTTCGTTACTAGAATTTTTTTTAGTTCTTTTATGTAAAGAGCATTTGATTATTATATGCTATTGAAGACTATCGTCTAATCAGGCACAGTGTCATCTCTATCACAACACATCTATGCATCAGCGATGCCTTAACAACGGGCCTTTCCAGTCGCTCACCTGCGTACAAACTTCAACCGCTAGTCCAAAATTTGATGGCAAACAAAGCAGCCGTCGGCAGCTGTTGTAAAGCACTTGCTTGCATTTGGCCCAGCTGTATCGATAAGCACCGATTCGCTTATCTTATCGCACTGGAAGACCGCGCGCTACTCTCCGCAGAGCAAGGTATATTTGTCAAGCGATGCAAGTTCGTTAATTAACAGGTGTGGCGGACGCATAAGCTCAGTCCACTGGAAGCAGCGCCGCACTTAGTCACGACTCGAGGAGTGTGGAGCAAGTTCTTCATTCAGTTATTGTTGGTCGACAAACGTGAGGTGTTTCCGAAATAGAATTCCCATAGATAATAGATAAAGTGAAACGAAAAGAAAAGACAAAAATAATACGCAAGCATTGCAAAATGTCCAGCAATTGAACCGATTTCGAGCAATTCGAGCCCAGACCCCAACCGATGGCCCTGCAATGCGTGATCAAGCCAAAAATGTGGCTGGGCCTTAAGCAAATACTACTCTATGTGGGTCTGCTGCTCTGTGTGGTGCTCCAGGTGTGTCGCAGCAAGACCCAACTGCAGCTCAACTGCCCCACCGTCTGCCAATGCGATCTCTATGCGCAGCGCAATCGAGCGATCTGCAGGTGTGTGAATTTAAGCATTTTGTTCCACTTTCATTTATGTATTACTTATCTTATACATATACATACTTTCATATATACATATATCTAGAGCCAAGCGCTTGATAAGCGCCAGCATTGACATGCCCAAGTCTGTGGAGCTGCTAGACCTAAGCTATAATGATATCACCAACATTGACGCCGACTGCTTTGAGGTGAATTACTCAGCTGATGACAGCTCTGACTAATTGAGAATATATACATATATATACTATATATGATATACACTTATTTACATTGAATTGACTCCCTTTCATGCCGACAGAGCTCTGTGCATCTGATCAATCTGACGCTGGCTCACAATGCCATCCAGACGCTGCATGTGAATGCATTTGGTGAGCTGCGTCGCCTGCGCTCGCTGGATCTCTCCTACAATCGCTTGGAGCAGCTGGACGAGCATCTGCTGGAGGCAAATTCGCATCTGCTGCACGTCAATCTGGAGGGCAATAAACTGGCCAGCCTGGGGTCCGGGCCGCTGTTGCGCAGCAGCTCGCTGCGGTCGCTCAACTTGCGCAATGCCCAGATCAGTCAGCTGGGCGTGGAGCTGTTGAGCGCGCTGCCCCAGCTGCGGCAGCTGGATCTGGCACAGAATATGCTGATTACAGTGCACATTCATGTGTTCCATGCGCCGCGCTACTTGGCGTCGCTCAACCTGGACGAGAATCCGCTCAACTGCGACCGGGCGCTAATTAAGGTCGCGACCTGGCTGAGTTTGCGTGGCGTCGCTGTCAGCATGAGCGAGTGCCTGGAGGAGCGGCTGCCAACCCATCCGCTGGACGTGCAGGCGGATGGCGATGTGGAGGAGAGCGGGAACGCCTCACTCGCTGAAACACCGCAAATGGAGCGCATGGAGCATGTGGACAGCGACAGCATCGCGGATGAGCCCAAGTCGGTGGCCGAAGTGTGGCGCGAGCTGCCCGACGACTCGGATTTGGATGAGCAGCAGCTGCCGGAGCAACCGGAGCCGCAGCCCGAGGAGCAGCTATCAACGCTCATCGATGTGTGCGAGGGAAATCGCGAACAGCTCTGCCTGCGCTATCGCAACTGCCTGGAACGCGTCAGCCACGAGCTGCTGGCGGGCAGCGCCGGGCAGCCGCCCGAGCTGGTGCAGAGCCCCCACACCTTCGACGAGGACGATGTGAAGCTGGCCTTCGCAGTGGGCGGCGCCACCGGCATCTGCATGGTCATTTTCATAATCAGCTTTGCCCTGTGCATTAAGAGCGGCTGCGAGCTGCGAAAGAAGCGACGCCAGACCTCAGCCAACGGAGAACCATGTGAGTCGAGTTGTGCATAATATAGCCAAAGCTCTGGCGTTGAATTAGAGCGATGTCAAAGCGAGACGAGCGGCATAATTGGTTAAGTAGCTGTCAGTTAGCAGAGCTACAAGCTTACAGCTGGAATTAATATATCAACTATCTGCTTTTATTGGCTAGAGTTGGAGTATGAACAGCAGGATAAAATTTATAAATCAAAAAGCTCCAAATTATAAGAAGAAGTTGCAATCATAGCTGTATGCAAAGTTAGTCAACAATATTTATTTATTTATCATAGATTAGAATATAATTAACTTAAAAAATAACTAACAAATTAATTCAGCTCAGTCAACATCAAAAGCTCAGTTAAGCGGAGCAAAGCTCTCCGCAGATTCACTCTGCTTTGCCCAGCTCAATTCGCAGCAGCTATTAATTACGCTCAAAGCTTAAAGCTTTTCTCTCTTCAGTTTGTCTTCTTTTTCTATGTGCTGCAGTTACTCACACCAAGCTCACTCATGCTCAAGAGCAAGCTTGGCACACACATACACACATACACACGTAATATTGGGCTGCGCTGCTCACTTATAATTTATTTTCTTTGATTTCGTTTCTTTACTCACGATTTGCCTTCAAGCAAGCAAAAGCTTTTGTATGTTTGTATGTAGTTGATCTCGCACTACATTTAATTTGCCTGACATGTTAAATAATAATTAACTCATTAACGGAGAAGACGTTAGTCAATCTCATTAAAGTTCGAGTTGCCCAAAAAGTTAGCCAATTGCCAACAAAATTTGTTAAGCACCGTTAACTTAAAACAATTTCAAAAACCATAAATCAATTATTTTGAAATTATAATAGAAATAATAGATGACTTAGAGTATTTGAAACCACTATCCGCTTGCTTTGCTTCTCATTCGACTCCACAGGACTTCCCTTAATGCCTCTTGATACCTCAACAAATCCCGCATATTTTATGCATATTTGTTTGTTTTTGCATTTTACCGCTTTATCAATCCTGCCTAAGCCCTGCATCAGCTCGGCAACCGTTCACTTGAAACAGCTCAGTGCTAACTCTGCTCTTGCTCTCTTGCAGCCACAGTGGAATCGTTGCCGCCGCAGCAGCTGCCCACGATTCATACCTGGTCCCCGCCCCTGGTGCCCACGCGTAATCCGCGTCGCTCCAATCCGCAGCGCACACGGAATGCGCCGTCGCGGGCTCTGGTCCGCCAGCCCTATGGACCCGATGACAACTTTGTGTCGCGTCTGTTTGGGCGTCCGGCCAGGCATCAGTACTATCGCGCCATCAACCAGAACACGGCGACACTAATCAGACGTCTGAGTCGCAGTAATCTATTTAGCACTCGGGATCGGGATCAGCCAAGCAGTCCAGAGACGCCGCCAGCGGCCACAGCGAGATTCTACACAGATGTTGTGGAAGCTGGCGCAGCGCGGCCGGAGACTCCACCACCCAACTACGGCGATGTGGTGGTCATTGAGAATTGTGATAGGAAATAGAATAAATCAAGCCTCCAACGAGCTCCTTTTAAGCACACACACACACACACACATACACACAGAGCCATACACAAGCAGTAGGCATTATAAAATAAATCTTTAAGCACGACTTAAGGCGACGTCTTTATAGTTTACGACAGCCTGCCTCTTCTTCATCTTGTTATTTTACGTCTCTTCTTTTTGCTTCATACCAAAATATCAATTGGGGATTCCTTCGGACTTTTCTTTTGTTGGTAGCATTACTTTTACACGACTGCAACAAATCGCAATAAAAACTTTTGACAAAACTATCAAAGTTGGCACACAACGGGCACAGGAAGAGACTGCGAAATTGCCACAGCCAAATCTGCAACACGCCCCTCAACACCCATCACCCCCGCCCGAAATTCTCTAAAAAAAAAAAAAAAAAATGTTTCAAGTAGAAAAACTTTACACACTCAAATAAATGCAAGCGTGAAGCGTGTGCAATAGAGGACAGGAAATGAAGCGGGTGTCGCCCAGCCAGCGGATGTGGCAAGACAAATCGAAAGCTTCACAAAAGAAAACAAAACCCAAAAA